TCAGCTTTTACTTACGCACAGCTGATAGATGTGATGGATACAGTTGTTCACATCAGTACATTCCTTCTGTAGTTCTTTCACCATAAGAGACCTGCTCACTTGCACAACTCTCCCCTCATTGATCCACACCAACATGAAATGCAGGGCAGCTCAACAGAGTAGGCTGAGTTACACACATGCTATTTATTTTAATCGTAGAATTCCCTATTGTGACTATCCACAGTGCTAACCTACTTATAAGTTCCAATACACTTTGTGCTCTTCAGAACAAAATCAGAATCTTTCATAGTTCTATGGCCATTAAAGACATATAAAGATGCTGAAAAAACAGAGAGCAAGCAGCAGATTTTATCTTAATCAATAAATGTACAAGTAAGTGATTAGATCTCAAATGCAATGTAGCTTCCTGCTCTATCATGCAGTAAAGCTCTTCTGTCTTAGTCCGTACTATTCTTTCTATTTGTCCCTGCAATGATGATATAATCCTGGTAGAGCTTTATGGAGCAGTGCAGGGGATTTACCAGTAAATCTTTGATTCAATTCAGTAGATGATGCGTGGCTTTGAAATCCCTATGGCTAGTATCAGTATGTTGCTATGCAGATTACTGGGATGCCATGAATTCAAGATTATGAGATTCTTGTGCTGAAGCTGTGACTAACAGGAAAATTTGGCTTATTGGGCAGCACGACATACACATTTGCTATGCAAAGAAAAATACATGATTATTACAGTATTGTGTTGGAGGGGATATGTTTTTTCTTCAATCTGGCACATGTCTGTGTCCCAAAAACCTGTCCAAATTTGGGTTTTGGCTGTGTCATGCTGCCTGTGTCACAGGATCCATCAGTCAGTAACTGAGCATCATGCAAAACCCTGAGCAGTTTGAGACAAACCACAGCACACCACAGCCTGTGACCTCACTTGTCTGAGTCACTTCCAGTCACTTGTGTTCTCTTACCCATAATGTCCGTAAAGGTTATTAATAATGGATTTGATTTAAACTGATTACTTTGAAATTGGATGTGTCCTTAGGTATGTTAAAATAAAGTAATGGAAAAAGACACATAAACATGAACTTAAAGTTCACTTTAAAGTTCACCCCTTCAGAAGTGTAACATAATACATGTTTTGACATGTTTTCAGAAAGCATTCCAGGAAATTGCATTACGAAATGCCATGATTTAATTTTACTAGCTAATGGAAAGCAATCTATCACCTACACTAAAGGAACCCCTTCTCTCATCCTGTCCTCAGTGTGCATAAGCATACTACCCTGTTCTAGCTTAGCACATAATTCAAGTCATCTTCATTTCATTGTGTCTGCTGCTTTCCTAAGAACACAAACCTCTTGCTTCGATCTCCCGAATGCAGGAATCCACAACCATTGGCCTCTGAGTATTGTGGGCTTTCACAAGTGTGGTGAGATCGCAGCAGTAGACTCTCTTTATCCTCTTGAGGTCTGGTTGGCAGTCATTGGGCACATATTTCGAGCACTGCTTATGTACGTTCAACCCGCAGTCTGTAAGCAAAGTTAGCCATGTTAGTGAATTAATACTAATGCCAATAGGTCTTGTCTAACAACTTATTTCCTCAGTCCACACCAAGAAATGGGCACAACTTCCCCATCAGTCAGCAAGGACAGAATAAACAGGATGGAGATGAGAAAGATAAGCATGGAAATGTGCAAAAATTTTATGGTGAGAAAAGTGAGTTGTTCAAAAGCTATAAAGTTCAGGATGTTCCTTATAACCCTCTGAGCTGTAGATGACCACTGGTGCAGTCTACATCGGTTCATTACTGGACACATAGCTCAAGGTGTTGCATTTGAACACATGAGACTTATCTTCTGGGTATTTTATATAGGCCTTGAATAAAATTGGCACAGTAATGACTGTCTTCTGCTGGTTGTCTTGTGGCTTAGCACTGGTCATGATTGAAGAATCTAAGATTCACCTGAGCACTTAAACTGGGTCAGTGCTTTGAGCTAGCGTGCCTCACTCTCCCCCTTCCACATTCCTGCAGTGTCACATTTTGGCTCACTCTGCCATATCAGCAGACTCCCCATCCCTGGCTTATCACTGCACTGGTGACTAAAGTGTCCCCTGTGTGTAGTCTGTAGGTCAGTTTAGGCATATAAAATGCTGTGCAAGGCATGATGTAAAAAAGTGATTCATTTTACAAATAGTTCTTGGTGTCTTACTCCAGAGTTGAATCCCACTCTCAGGTGCATGTCTGAGTTTCTATTAACTTTAACATCTCTGCTTGACCTCCAGAAATTGAATTTTTCTAATAGACTCAAATATTCAGCCAAATGAATTTATAAGCTTCAGTAAAGTAAACACCACCATCGTGAGTTGCATTATCTCACATAGCTGATTCCTGTTTTAATGCCTTCCCAGTCATGCCCATCACTGACGGTACCCTTTGAGATAACTTAATATCAAGCTATTAAAAATGTAAACTTGACTCTATTACTTGCAGCACATTTCAGTATTATACTCTATAAAATATTAATCAAGCAAAATCATATACAAGTACACCTACATGTTTAATGGAATTGGGTGGGGCTTTGTGTGTTTCTCCATACAGTTATTAGTGTATAATATATTATTGTTCTGTGAATTCTAAACAAATGTGAGCAGCTGCAGTTAGGAACTTCCCTGCATTGTTTTCAGTGCTGTTGTCCAAGCATGTGAAGTTAAATCCAAATGCATCTGTCTACCTGGAATCAAATGCTGGTAATTTAATGAGGGAGAGTATTATGTTTCATACTAAATAAATAAGCCTTTTCATAAGTTTAATATTTTATGTATGGGAACAAATACGCTGCTATGCATTAGTGAGGTCAGGTTTTGCATATTTCTGTTTAAGGTCAAATAGCTTGAAAAGCAAACTACTATTCCTCTTTTTTAATGTCCTCACATTCTTTGTGTTACCCTTATTCATGTAGACCAGATGTAGCTGTAGCTGAGACTGCACTTATTAAAACTGCATTTGTGAAAGGTATTTTGATCTTGCAAACTGCAGTCTAAACTTTGGGTAACGGCCACCTACTCTATCCATGAAAGGCAGATGTCAGGGTTGGTACTAGTCATTGGGAATGCCTGGAGGTCAGGGCAGGGAAAGGTAAGACAGAGGTGAGACAAACACCTTTTGGAAATGATTGCAGGTCTGGTGAAAGAAATTGTGAAAACCCATTTGCAATGCACCAAATACAACTCCACTTGCTGAATCCAAAACCTCATGATGTGATGATTATTGCTTTTTTCCAAGATCTTTTTTTTTTTCTTATTTCACAGAAGAACCAACAAATTTAAAATAATTAAGACACTATTAAAATGCTAATACAGTTATAGAGGCACCAGAAAACTAATCCTTCATGGAAAATGAAGGTTGCATTTTGGTTTTTTTTTTTTACCTTGGGGTGGGATACTTTGGGCTTGCAGCATGGTAATTTTATAGGAAACATGTGGCAGTCTTTTTGCAGACAAGGGCACTTCTCAGCAATTGGTGGCAAAAAGAGGAGTTAAAAGCTTAGTTGCAGGATGGCTTTGCCATTTCCAGTGCTTGTTTCTTAAGACATAAAAACATTCAGGGATAACTTAACCATAATGAATAGGTTTTAATGTATACACCAAGGCACACACAGGACCAAGGTACTACCAAAAAGATGTCACTCTCAGCAACCAAGGGCTGGTGACTTAATTTCTAAACCAGCTAATGGAGAAGATGAAAATGCTCTAACTTGTGTGGGAGGATTTCTTGCCTTGTTCTGTAAAGAAATCCTGGCCCCTGCTCCTGCAGGGAGTGCAGGCTGGGGTGGGACAGATGTCTGAGCACTTCAAGAGGATGACAGAAAATGCTGAAGGGTTACCTGAACACCTCACTCCCTGAGCGATGAGACCCCACATGAAGTTGGCGCAGTATTCACACCAGTGTGGACCCCGAAATGTATGGACCTGTAATACAAATGGGGGTGGGGGAAAGAAATGGGGTCATTGGGAGGCAGATGGTCTGACAGATGGAACAACTGAAATGGATAAACAACAGAAGACTCAGTAGGAGTAAATCTTTAGCATACAGTGCCCACATCCTTCCAAAGTCTAGATGAAATAAACCATGGGAACAGAAATGTGCTTTGATCTTGAAGTTTATCTTTCAATAGGCTTAACATAACAGAACTGGGCTGTGTACCACACCGACAACAAATCATTTTTGCTAGCTGACATTCTAGCTATAGTGGAAGGGAGGGAACCAAGAGAAAAAAACGTAAAACTAATAATCCAAGGAACTGTAGATAAAAGCAGACAGCACTATTCCCCACTCTAGTAAATAAACTGAACTCACATAGGGAAGAGATGTCAGTATGCTCTTTTTCAGTAGACCAAACTTTATTTTGCTACAGTCTACACATGAGTAAATAAAGGAGGAATAAAATGACTTGTGTGCTGACAGAGCCCACAGCTCCCCAGCCAAGTTTCTCACACCACCACTGCTTCCACCACTCCTTTTCCAAAGGCTACAGCGGAAGACCGTTCTCATTTTCATTGAAATGAAGAGTAAATAGTGAGGTCTATGCCCGTGTGAATGGACATGGCATGAGCTAGCTCTGGCCAGAGACTTAATTGAGCTTAACAAAACATAAATCATGCACACTCTGGCTGCTAATGCGTTCTTTTCCTTCTCTCTGCTCTTGTTTACCCATCGGGTGGATGGCTGAAAGGCCACTTCCACCCCCTGGGCTGGGGAAGGCTGCTCTTTGCTTTTCATAGAGTAAAAAATTGGTCATTGCCCTTTTCAGATAAACTGTGAAGTTTTAGGCCAAGCATTTGGCTTGCTAATGCTTTTCCCCCATTTGTCTGCAGGATCACAGCTACACAAGCCTGTACTTGGAGTCTGGGAAGATGTATTGTGATTTTAATACAGATCTCTCTTTCTGATTTCGAGATAAAAATGTGAGCCTGACTACAAATTGCTCCTAACCAACTACTTACAGTCAAATAAAACTTAAAGCAATAGTAATTCTTCCTCCCTTTTGACAGTGAAAGGTCAAAACTGGAATGTCTGACTGGTCATACTTATTTTTTGAAAGTGCATTTTACCTCTCAGAAGAATGTGTGTCTCTGTGAAACTGGACTTTGCAATAAAGTTTGAGATAGATACATTGATATATATAGCCACGTACTTCTTCCTCATTTCATTTTATTTCATTTTGCAGTGTGGGCAGCATGAATTTCAGACATGGCTTTTCATGGGGGTAAATGGCTATACACAACACCAGCTGTTGACCCAAGTTTCAGTCATATGCACTATGTGACTTTCAGTGGATGCAAAACTACAGACACAACTAATTATGCCTGCATCTTTGCCATTTTTAGACTGAAAGCCACATAATTAGTAGGTCTGCACCTGTACTTAATTGTGGGTGAAAATCATCTGCTGTGGGAAGATAGCTAACTGTGTCTTCTGCTTTGCAGCAGTTTACAAGAGCTAACCTCATGAGAAGGGACTGAGAAAGCTCTGTCAGGACTTTTAAAAATGCACCATTTATAAAGTCCCTTGCAGTTGCTAGGATATTTGGGGCCTAGTTGCTCACTTTACATAAAGCTTATTTCAGCTGATCTCACTGTTGCGTATTTTGAAAATGGTAGCTGATTACTCCTTGATTTCTCCTGCCATTACTTGGAAAGTCATCAATGCCGACTGTGGGCTCCATTTGAGAAGTGCTGACAGCGCACCCTTCCCTTGTTCCATTCAGCTTGGTGGCCCTCAAAGGTTGAGTTGTCTTTATTCATTCACTTCAATTTTTCACAGATCTGCATTTTAGCGCAAATGGCAAATCTCCAGCTGAAACACCCTTTGAAAAGTTAGTCTTGGTGGTTTCTGGCCAAGTTGAAACAGGGAAATAATCTCTAACTTAAAAAGGGAGCTCTTCGAATGCTTCTAGATGAAAGTGGAAAAAAATCTCTTAAGATGCAGTTTTTAACTGAGTCTCTTATGACTTGTCATTGATTTTAAAGAAATAATGGAGAAAGTCTGTTCTTAGAAACACAACACTTTTGAATGGTGTAAATGGGAATTCTGTCTGCAAGATTGTCCTCATCTCTGTTTTAAATGGGGGGAGGTAACAGTAGGTCTTAGATTTTTGAGATGGGTTTTAGGTTTTGCCCCATCCTTTGTAGCTGCATCATTAGAAATGGACTGGGCTTAGATTTTCTGGAAATATGATCAAGAACTATTTGTTGCTGATCCCTATCCAATCCTGCTGCCTCAGGAGACCTCTCTGTGTATACACAGCATACGCTTGGGCTACAGTTGACGCATAATTCCAACTTTTAAAAATAATTTACAGGGAACTATTTCTTCAAATAAGCCCCAACTGATGTTTCAGACTGTACACTGTCCTTTCCTTGTTCAGTCTTTCATACTCTTTCAATGAATACTTGTTTTCTACATTCATTGTCTCTTCTGTGCTGGACAATCTCACACAACACTACACTGCATGTCTCTTCTTGTTGCCTTCCTGTGCTCTCACCTTCACCCTTCGCCCCTCTGGTGCCCTTGCTTTCACACAGCAACATTCTCCACATGGGTGCTACCTTGCTCACTCTTAGTTTGTGTCTGAATCATGTTCACAGAGGGAGAAACTGGAACCAAAGTTAAGGAGTGCAGTACAGTGGCAAAACAAAATAATGCCTTAAGCAATATTGCAGAAACAAAAAAAAATTGCCTTGAATTGAAATGCATGTTTTTTTATTGGCATTATATAGTGCTGTTCCTGAGACAATTTTGTTGTTTATGTGACTGTGTTTGAAGACTTTTTTATTTGCCTCCAAAGACAGGAAGCTTTTTTCACTTTTGCCTGAACATAGGCACATTTCTAGTCTCCTGTGGACTCCTTCTGAACCTGAGCCATTTGCAGGGAAGAAAAACTGACCCTGCTGTTATTTTTGTTTAAATGAATCCACATAATCTTTGTGATATCTGTAAAAAATGTCTCAACCAAACCCTTTGTCTTCCAGAAGCAATATTATATGCAGTGCTTAAGACAGGGGAAATTTATCCCAGAGCCTCCTCTCTCCCAGCAGATCTTCTGACTTGTCTGTAATCAGCTCCACTAGCCTGCCTGCAAATGGGATTTGCCCATGCTATGGTGGCAAACAGGCACAGTATTGTGGTAAATGCACGTTATTCAGCTGTATTCACTTACTCAAAGCAGCACAGAAGCCCTCTCATGAATTCCCAGCCTAGAACAAAAAGCATGGAGCACCCCCAAACTTCACACTGCTGCCCTCAGGCATGAGATTGACCTCACCACCAGCTGGGACCCCACTGAAGTTGGCAGGTAAACACATCGCAAAGAGCCTGCTGGATCCTAACTATAGCAAGATGCAAGAGGACTTTGTGATCCAGTTAGGCTGACATTCACATAGTTAGAGAAATATCTCTGTGTTTTTCTAAACAGGGCTTCAGAGATTTATTCTCTTTCCTGAATTACGGTATGTCTACACTGGCTTATGCAAAGTTGTCCCGCCAGACAGACGCCAGCTCCAAACCTAAATCCATGTGACTGTGTGGTGTGCTCAGGATGAACCCAGCTTAACAAATCAGTCTTGATACTAAATCTTTTTTGTTCATTTGCCTTGAGTAACTAGAAATTTGAAAGGGGCTGACTGAGAAAGCATGGATGCTCAGAAGAGCATAAGCTGGTACCCTCATGCTCCAAACTTCAACGCTGCTCTTCAATTTTTGTCTTAGCTTTGCAAGGATGAAGGGAGAGCAATCCTTGCTCTGAATTTGTGCCTTGAGTCTATTTCTTCCTTTTGCTCCTCTGTTCTTTCAGTAGGTAACATCTTTGGTGTAAGATCTACAAAAATCTCATTGGCTTCGCTAAAAATGTGCCCTTCTTTTTTAAGATTCTTCATGGCTGAAGGACAAGAGCTAAAAAGTGTCTGTTCGTTCATGAAGAATTGCCTTTGACAAGATTATGAGGGACACTGTGACACGTAACCTTTATCCCTAGGAACTGAGCTGAATGATACAATACACATCAGTATTCACCTAAAAATGAGGAAGACAACTTTTTGAATGTCTGCAAAATAGCATTGTCCTTCAGACAAATCCCATATCATCATAGCCTGAGTGCTGTCAAAAGCCATTAAGAATTTTGCCCCAAGACCCATAAAGCCATTCTATCTTTTTAAAGCAATTTCTTAACCCTTTTATGAAATGAATAGTGAATATATGAAAGATATTAGACTGGAATTTAGCCATCTTTAAATCTAAATATTCTATTCCAGGTATTCTATCCATATTTTCTGTTCAACAACTAGATGTGTTTTCATATATTCTTTTGGAAAACTAACTGTATTTGCATAGTGGACATATTGTTGCTTAAGCTGATGTAACACTTTCGATTGACCTTTCTAGATGATTATTTTTTAAGTGTTTCTTCCCTAAGTTTTGTTAAGGCTTTTACTAGGATAAACCAATAATTTTCTGCTGTCAAGCCTTTGAATACATATCTATTTTAATCATGTGATTTTCCAGTTAAACTATGACTCTTTTGAAACAGAAAAGAACAGACACTGTACAACAGCTAGATTGTGCAAATGCAAAGTTAACTGGGCACATGTCCAATTATAAATCAAAGCCAAAACAAGGGAAATTTCGAAGAGGAAAGAATGCATGGGTCAAAGTGAAAAAAAAGTCTCAGTCATGAGAAAATATTTCCTAGTTAAACTAAAATAGTTTTTATATTAAAATGATAATGAGGGCAAAGCCCAGAAAGAATCAAAGCTGGCTTAACCAAGCAAGAAAACACAGAGTATTTCCCTGCTTTCCTTCAGTGCCGATCAGACACATATATATTGACTTCTCTGTAGACTGGGTCAAGGAAGGGGAATGAGAAGAGGGATGCTATTATTAGCATTGCTCACTAATATTAAATTATTGATTTGCCAACTACAGCAGAAGCACTGCAGAGGACAGCAATGTCTGCACAGCAGAACATGTAGAAAAATACGAAGGAAAACTTTTTAGCTAACCCACATAATAAGTGAAATTATTTTAATCAGTGCTTCTCCTTTTTTGACAGGCCCTAGATGAAAATCAGAAAATTCTTGTTCTGCTAATGAGCTGAACTATTCTAACAGTGACCCAGATCTGCATCCATAAGGAGCATTCACTAAACCGAGATTTCAAAGCCGAGATACATTCCTTTCTTGTCTTGTTGCTGCCTTTTATTCTCAATGCTTATCCCGATAAGCATCAAACCACAATTTGACAGCATTAGATATGGTAACTGGCTGGCAAGCTCTGAAACCAGCACAGTCCTTTTGGCAAAACATTTTAATACAGGCTGCCTGGAAGGTCCATTTCCAAAGCTGAGTCACTTCCCCACTGCAGCCTGCCAGACACAGCACTTGGTGAAAAGAAACTAAGAATCTGATTTTGTATGTATAAGACAGCAAAAAGATGAGCCTTTCAAACATCCTTGTGTTTGTCCAGTGACTTGTTTTAGTTTGACAAGCAAACACAAGCTCAGATACTACAGCTCAGTGGGACTTTGAGAGCATTTCCTTAGCATATGGTGGTGGAACAAAAGCTGGGAGACAATACTAACTGCTGTGCTCTGCTTTATTGTTAGAAGCACCCGAGCTCCCTCAACTTCTTCTGAAAACAGAAATGGTCCAAAACGTTTGCTGGTAAAATGCCACTGGCTTCTGATAATAGCTAGATTTTGAAAAGGGGATTTTTTTTCTCAGTTAAAAGCAGATACACTTAAGATAAAAGACAATCAATAGGAAGTACTTTGTTTCTAAATAATAAAAATAAAACTGAATCTGGGGAAAAGAGCTAAATTGCCAGTCAAGTAGTGCAGTGAGCAGCAAAACCAAGTACAAAGAAAAATGCAGTTTTTCAACACTTTTCTTAGAGCTAATACAAATAGGTGCATGCAAACCTCATCACAGCAAAAAATAAAACGTGAGGCATCAAAACAGAACTTTTTAGCTGATAATAATAGCAAGTTGTGCTTACCTTAAAATTGTGTGCTTTTTCATAGTTGAAGTGGTTGTCATTTTGAGTTAAGGCTGCTCTTCTGACCAAGGAGGTGATCTGTGAATAGGCAAAGAGTTTCAGAGGTTGCCACAAAAGTGCCCCCTTGACTCCCACCTTCACCCCCAGGGCCACAGCCAGGAGCTCTTGGCGTTTCCTTCCTCGTTTCGACTTGTGAACAACAGCACAGTTTTTCTCATTTTCCAGCCACAGATCCTCTGAAAACATAGTGCTGGGATCCCAAATCTTTTCCCTGTCTTCCTCGGCGCCGGGGAGCCTGACTGTAGTCAGCACAGTACAGTTTGTCCAACTGCTTCTGATGTTAGACAGCAGATTTGAAGCAGCTGCAGCCCATTCTGCTGAGACCTCTGGCATGTGACTTGAATGGGCCGTCTTGTGGGATGGAAGGAGCTTCTGCATCTGAATAAGTAACGGCCTGTGCCGTGCGATTTCTTAAGGCAGATGTGTGTCTTGAACAATAGCACGAATTCATAGACTGAGCAGCCTCCCCCCTACTCTCCCTGAGCAGTGGTCTCCAGCTAGGTGCTGCTGAATTACTGGCTGGGGGGACACACAATGTTAAGGATTCACCCCCAAATGCATTTCCAGGGACAGATCCCTTCAACTCTGCTGTGTGTTAAAAAATGAACAAACAAACAAAAAGCCCCAGGAAAGCCCACACAACTGAATCCAGTGCTGGATCCAATTACACTCAGAGACTTATCAGCCAGCAGTCTGCATGCCAGCAGATTAAGCCCCTAAAACCATGATGATTGTTTAATCTTACAGGGTGAAAAATCTCTTTTTTTTATTTCATATTCTGTACAAGGGGAAAAATCCAGCAGCACTACAAGCATTAATAGCACTTTTATGCCACATTTTAAACTAGAGCATTTTGTCAGTGTGCACTTGGTAGCACTGAGCTTGCCCATTGCCAGGGAAAGTTGAAAGCCCAGCTGGGACTATGCAGGCTTGGAAGCCCTGGAGCTCTGTGCAGCAGTCGAGGGAAGACAGCAGGGGAGCTTCACATGGATGTAGGAAGCCCATACACACAGCCCTGCTTGCAGAACAGTGTCTGCAAGGCAGCAAGAGCAGGTATCCTTTGCTCTGATTACCTGCATCTATAGATTTTGGGGGAAACTGATTCCTAGTTAAAGCCTAGGGACAGGAGGTATCAGGATCCAGGCCAGTCTGTGCTAAAGTATTATTTTGCACATGTGATCCAGTTCTTTACAAACAGGTAGTTCCCCACCCCAGTACACAGATGTGTGATTCCGAGCTTTCCCTGGGAAGCATGTTGAGTGCCCCCTTGCCACCAGTTTCTTTTCCTAAAGCTCCTCTCTTCTGCTCCTTTACTTGAGTATGCCAATTCTCCATCTATAAGAGGAGGATAGGAGTCACCTGCTCAGCAGAGCACTGTAAGATTTAATTCTCTAAGGTGTGCCTAAGACTTCAGATGTTGCGATAGAGTAAACCGGGGGGTTACCAGCACTTCTGGGAAAATTTCCTCTTTGAACTAGAAACACTAAAGATGTGCACTAAAGAGCACATCATCCTTTTACAGTCTGCCCCATTTCAACTAACCCAGAAAATATGTGAAATTAAAGTATTTAATTCACTTATATTAACTTGTGAAGTTGACCTTGCATCTATTTTTTCCCGTCTGCTTTTACCTCAGGCTGCAAAGTCAGAAAGTTCATCTAATTCGCTTATTAAACCCTCCACCATACAGACTGCCTGCTCTTAGTAAAAGTGATGCTCTCCTGATTTGAAAGCCCATGAGGACAGATGGTTGTACGTCAGTAACATCAGGCTGTGCAATTCCAGACAGTAGCCTACTTAGGGTTTTCAAGAAGTTGAGCAACCTGCAAAATCAGCTTCTCAGTTACCTCTATGTATAGCCTATTTAATTCCATTCTTTTCTAGGTAACTCACAACAACAATTTTCACATGCTCCTATACTCCAAAGCTTCTGCTCCCCAGTAGGGAGGACTTTCACACAAACCCTTTGCTCCCTGAGCAGTTGCTGCCCATTCAGCCCTTCCCCAGGGCTTGGCACTGTTAACTGACCATGAGTGACAACTGGCTGTGATGCATGTATGAACATTGCTCTGCCTGCAAGAAATCCCTGCTGCTCTTCCATATGTCCTCCTGTCAGTGAGTCCCAATTTCTGCTAGCTCAGGACCTTTATCTGCTTTCCAGCAGGCAGACAGACTACAGCTCCCCAGCTTTCTCTTCATGTATTTCAAGAGGTAAGGAGTACTGGGTCTTGGGACATCTCTGACCCCATCAGCAGCAATGGCTTCAGTTTGGGCCATCATGAAGGAAACCTTGGAGATGCTTGAAGTTCTTATCATACTCCAGTTTCTTTCCTCAGTGCCATTAAAAATATTTTTTTACATTGATCTGGAAGAAACCCTTCAAAGTAGCTCTGAGTTGTCAGACACCTCAGAAGCTACAGCCTTTAAATCCCCATATATACATAAGCTACTTTTTCTCTGACTTCCAGCATAACAGATCCAAAGTCAGAGAGGTCGGTTTCCTAATAATGCTCTAATATTTGCATTTATGTCACTCGACTGATAAAAATCCCATTATATAACCAATTTTTTTTACATAATATGGCAGATTTGATACTCAAGTGACAGGCTTATGATGATACATCTTGGAATTTCTATTTATTAAACTATTTTTGGCATATGAGAGTGTCATCCTGGGATCAGACATACAGACATATTTAATGGAAACTGAGTGTTCGCACAGAAGCATTAAACTTAAATAGGCTTTCGGGAGGACAACTCATCCAAACCAGTTCATATGACTAAGGTAGAGCAGTATTTACTGTTTATCATATATGCAATTTTATTTATCCCCTGGGTATCTGCCTTGCTTGAGCCCTGTTTAGACGGTTGTTTAGTGGGTTCCCTTGCAAACACAGGATGTGTACAGAAGGCCAACAGTGAGTGTGTCCTCTTAAGAAGCTTAATCATACAAAGCCCTAACATGTTTGGTGTTTAAAATGATGCTGCAAAACTGAGATGAGCTGGATCACATATACAACCCCTTCCCTCTCTAAATATAACATTGAACTTCAGCAATAACAAATTCTCAGCAGCAATCAGTTCAAACATACAGATACCACAGGCTCACCCCAGTGCTCTTTTTTATCCATTTTCTTTTCCTTAATACAAAATTTACTGCACATGGTGTCAATTCATTTAAAGAGCATCTCTTGTTCAACTTAGCAAGTTAGTCTGCAGCTGAAGAGTAGAATGCCAGTGGCTAAAAATATTATTGCTGATTGTCACTGAGTGTCTAAGCTAGTGAAGGCTGAAAGGCAAATATGGGTCATCTCTGTTTGTTTTCAGACCAAAGAATTTCTGCATAACATATAATTTTAATTTACTATTCTCTTTGCAAAGCACATGTACTGTACAGGAAATTAGGCATTTATAGCAAAATAAATGTCACTGAACCAGAATAATAAAATTAAGGGGTGGGAGGAGGGAAGACGACACCCCAGCTGTTGCGCCATTTCCAGTGAGCCTCGGCAACACGAGCTGAACCACACCATTGTCTCTCCCCTCAAAGACTGGCATCTTGTTTGCTAACAAAAGCCTTGGGGGTAGGAAAGAACAAACTGCACTATGAAAAGCTTTTGGTTTTGTACATGTGTCATGATTTCTGTTGTAGTCGTGTGGGAAGTGCAGAGTTCCCCTACGGCTGGAAGTAAGAAGTAGGGGAACTCCGCGTGCCGTCTGGCTCCTCTGTGCCAGCTCCAGCGTGGTGGGAAGAGATGCTGTGCGAGTGATACCTCCTCTCTCCCAGCCACCACCATGCCCACCCGTGGCTGGCAGAGGGGTTATCGAGTGACAGGTCCTTGGCTTGCAGCTCTGCCTGCTGAAGGACACAACTATGGCAGGAAGAGGAGTGGCACGGGCATGTCTCCTTGGACAACACAAGTGAAAAGGAGATTTCTCTGCGATGAGGAACTGTGACAAATCCATGACTGATCTCTAACTAAATACACTTAACGCTGCACATAGATACAGTCATAGGTCAAAGAGAGGCCTGTTTCCTTGCAGGCATGGAGTTCTCAGTAATCTGCCAGACTGATTATGTTTGCTCAATTGCAAACACGTGGTGGAGATGACACATAGTGCAGGAATCTTGCAGCTATTGGGTTTTTCCTAGTTTTCTCCCACAGAGATCTTCCCACGACATGCTCAGAGCACAACGTCAAAGAAGCCATCTCTTAGCAAGAGACAGGGCACAAAGGGGATATGGTGGCAGAGGCCAGTCAGCCAAAGGCCTTTGCCATACCACAGTGCTGCCAGTCTGTGCCTCCCACTGCCACAGCACTGGGACCTGCCATTAAAAGGCTTCTGTGCTGCTGAAACAGTGGGAGGAAACAAGCTCCAAGCAGAAAACATGCTGAACACAAAGCCAAGCATGATGCCAGCAGAGTGATGCTTGCCAACCTGATCTTGCGAAACCCACTGTCCAAAGAAACCCACCCTCTGGCAGGAAGGCTCCTGACACCAGTCAGGTGAGCAGGGCTGGGAAGATCCACAACATGAGGCCAGGGGTTAGGGAGAGTCAGATCACACAGCAACCAGGCTGCTGCTGGTCTCTGGTTTGCTTTTGCTGGGAACACCGTCTACTTGCTCACAGGCAATCAAAAATAGAAAAAAAATAATTAGAATTATTTGGCTGCCACCCTCTGTTCAACAGAGCTGTAACTGCAATCCCTGAGAGTTTCCCCCAAATGCAGGTCCATTGAAACACCTCTAGGGTGCCTATTCCTCACCCAAATCCCAACAGTCCCTTGTTTTCAGCATAAAACTTCGAGGTGAGCTGTTGCTCAGTAAACTGGACACTGTTATTCAAAAACAAAGCACCACAGGTTTTTTTTAAAGGATTAAGATTTATCTATAGTTTTGCTTTTTATTACTTGGCATTTCAACTTTCTTTTTTTTTTTTTTAATAAATCCTCTGCAAATTATGACTCTGAGCAGCTGTTAACAACACTCACAAGTGTTTATGACAGTGGATTATCCACACTGGGCTCCTATTCTGGAGAGCCTGGTTGGACTTCCATCACCACCAATTATACTTATCTTTTGCATATAGCCCACTTCAGAGCAAAAGGAACTGCTCATTTAGGAGGACTCCTGCAGTACATACTCTGACATTAAAGTTATTAAAATCATAATATTTACACCTCTCCTAAATTGAAGTGATTGATTATGTATTAGCATGGCAACGACCAGTTGTCATTTATATGCATTTCTTTCTGACAGGGTGTTTGATTCCCTCCCTCACAGATAAGACAGAATTTACCTACAGCAAATGGAAATATAATCTACCCTAAACTTCAGATCCCCTTTCTAATTCCTCCTCAAACAGATTTTTCTGT